AAAATCACTGTCAAATAAATCATGACACTATCAAATGCATGCTAATTTCAGAGGCTTTAAAAAGTGAAAAAAAATCAATGTCTTAGAATTAATAAAATATGAGTAATCGAGCAGCTCCTCTGTTCTGGCAGTGAGAGAGCTGCATTCTGGAAAGACAATGTTGAATGGAGTATAGATGATCAGACTCAGAGAGTGTAAGGGATTGGGCTCAAGTGCACATGGCTGGTAGAACTGCAAGACAAAACCTGATACTCTGATTCCAAGTTTAGTGATCTTCTGCTGTCTACCTGTCACCCCAAGACCAGGTGGTTACATTTTGAAAGTAGATGCCTACCCAGTGAAGACACAGAGCTCCCAAACAGAAACCGGCTTACTGTTAAAAATAGGTTTTTCAATTGAGAAAAGACTCTTCCTTATGCTTTGGTAGTTTTTGGTGACATACATGGATGCCTTCAGAAAGCACCATCTTCAAACACAAAATAATACAATGTGTATGTAGCATGTATACACATATATATTACACACACGTATGTGTATATATACTATGCACATATACACTTATTTACTGTTTGTATCATGAGTAATATTTTTAAGATAGATATCTATCTATCTTTTATCTATTTATCTATTTATTTATCTGAAGTAGAAAACAACTGAGTTTCTACCACAATTTTCTACTTCAGAGTTTTCCTTTAATCTGTTTCACTTCTGATTATTAGGAACCTGAAAGAGAAATACAAGGTAGGGACTTGTAACCAAAATTAGAGTCCAGGGCATGGATTCAAGTTTCTACACTGGAATTAGGAAACCATTGCAAACAGTCCTGCATATCGCAGGACTCTAACCAGTTGATGAGACATTTACCAAATCGTAACTGAAATATAAAAATGCAACTGTGAAGATCAACCAGAGTTCAAATAGAAAAGGTAAGAAATGAGGGTTTCTTATCTACATTTCTGGGCCAACCTTGGAAGGATGATACTGAACTACAACAGAAATATGAAGCAGTGATTTGTATCTTGTAAGGAGAAATAATCAATTGCCTTGAAGCATTGGTGAAGTAAGTCTGAAAAGTACAAGTGTACTAACAGGTTGCTCCAACCTCATTATTTCAGATTTTTTTACCCAGGTCTTGCAATAGTTATTATGACTGAGTTTTGAAATGTTTCATCTTTTCTTTCCACCACATGAGTAAGTATAGGAATAGACTCACTCTGGAATGAGCAGATGAAATAAATTCTATTCAAATACAGTCTAAAAACCACACAATGCTTTATCATAAATTCTAAAAAGAAGTAAGATATTTGGATTTGCAGTTAGTGATGAAGAACATGCCCAGGAAGAGAGCATACTTTATACTCCTAGTCCTGTTTTCCATTGTGATATTATTAGTAATCCAGTCAGTAGCATAACATCAAATTCTTAGTTTCTGTAAATAAGGAATCAGTGGAAAATGGAGAAAGTAACTGAAGGAGACAAGGCATACTGGAAAGAGAATTTTTTTGTGAGAGCCAAAATAAGCTATATACCTATGTCTGTGTTTATGTCTATACCTATATCTATAGCTATAGCTACATTTGGATTCATTTACTTACCCTGCCAACAATCTTCCTGCCTTAATAGTTACTATTTTTATTACTTATACTTCCGCTGTTAAATCCTAAGTTCCATAGGTAATTTCTTGAGCAAAAATTATTCTTCGGATTATAACTGTACTCATATTTTATTTATAATTATTCAGAT